GTTGAGTCAGCATCTGTTGCCTTCCAGGAAGCATCCGAGGGAAGCCAGATCAGAAGTGGAGGACACCAGACTCAAACCAGTATTTTGATACATGTTGTAGGTATCCCAAATGGTGGCTTGACCAACTATGTCACGATGCCTGTCCCCAGGGTCAACATTTGTTAAGTTAATAACAGTATTACTCAACTTGGGTCTGTCAGATGTTTTTTCATGTTAAGATTCAGACTGTGAACTCTCAGAGTACTACATACACTCAGTGGTATCATCTTCGGAGTAACACAAACCAAGGTGCATGAAGCCCCTCTGTCATTCTTTGGTGTTGTTCTTCCATTACCTGGGCAAGATGTTGTTTGGCTCCCTGTCCTGCAGCTACTATTTTCCACCTTCCAAGTGGTAAGGAATCTGGTAAGCACTTCAAGATCTGCTAATATCCTACTATTTGACAACAGTCTCTGCTGAATTTAGAGTCTGCTGATGGTTTTCGTCTGAAATCTTTTCTTACGATTGCTTAAAATGATAATTTTTTCCAATTCCACAACTCCCTTCTACATTCATTCCTTGGCATTTTTCTGTTAGGAAAAGCCCTAACCTTCCTTCTCCCTACTTCCTTTCTCCTCTCTCACTCCCTCCCCAACACCTACCTATCATCAACCATCTATCAGCTCCAGAGGACTCAAGATATACTTCAGATATCAATTTCCTTGATGGCATTGAAATCTGCTTTCGTTTTGCTGGCATTTGGTTTTTATATCTTTGATAAACCTTTTATTATGGTTTTACTGTGCAGTTTTTATTCAGATGTGTATCATCTAAATATACCTTTAAAAAAAGGGTTAACATGATAACTTTCCTTTGTTTACAATGAAGTTCAAGAAAGTAGAGAAAATGTAAAATCTGACAGATAATCCTTATATTCACAGTGATCATTTCTAAAAATAATTTCAACTAAAGAGGACACCTGTTCTATCCAACCACGCAGAAATGAAAAACTTAGTTTTGGAAGGTCATTGTCGCAAATGGCCAGGTGTGGCATTTTCTTCTCCTTGATGCAGAATAATTATGTTCACTGTAGGGTTCTCCACTGAACACGTTCACCCTGAGCACTTTCATTTTATGAAATGATGCTCTCATTTTTCTGGTCTCTGGGCTGTTGGACCACACAACTCAATACGGTGGGTTGTTATATCAATTATTACAGGGTTAATTAATGTGGGTAAAGGTCTTTTGTATTTCCACAGATGAAAGATTTTGAAAGTTATTCAATACTATTATGTGCTGTTTCTTGATCCTTTAGGTAAAAGCTTAATTAGTGACTTTGGGAAGGAAATGAAAAGTAATCAAGCATATTACGTTTTTGAAGAATTAGTCTTTTTGCGCAGAAACATTTCCGCCATAAGGTTCATTATGTTTCTTGCATTATTTAGCTCCCAAAACAATGCACTTACTGCAAATATAACATGCTGCTGTTATATCTGTCAGTATAAAGCCATTATAAAGTTATGGAAACATGTTTCTATGCCTGAAATAAAAACCTCAACCCCCAAAAAACACATGACCTCACATTTAAATTTTATTCAAAGTTTGAACTTACAGAAGTATAAAATATTTCATAAAATATTTCAAAAATCTAATAAAATATTTTAGTTTTATGAATGTTTATAAAATATTTTAAATTTTAATTTTAATTAAAGTTTTTTGATCAAGCAACTATGTATCCAGAATGTTATCTGTGGAGCACTGTTCCCTGCTTTCTCTCTAATTAATTTTCTCCAATTAAAATCGTTATTTGATTTTCCTCTATTCTTCTCTTGGGTATGGGATGACCCAGGAAAAAATGGGGAGATGTGAAGAATGAAAAATAGTTTTATCTGATATCCTAGTCCCAACGTCTTCATACTAACATTATTCTTGGCATGTTAGGAAGACCGGAAATTGCAAATTGCTTTTGTAATGAGTAAAGGCTCCATATTCCAGGGTGGAATTTGAGACCACTTCCCTAGTTATTGATATATGACTAAATCAGGGCTTGTCATGAACTGTGTTTGTCATTCATTCAACATGTTGCAAAAGGCTCTCAACATGGCAGGCCCAGTCTTACATCCTTTAGATAGAGTGACAACAAAAATAACACAGATTTCTGATTGGGAAATTAATATTCCAGAAGGAGGAGGTGAACAATAGGCATAATGATTAGGTAAGTCATATGTTAACCAAGAAGACTAAAAGTACTCTGGGACAGAGAGTAGCATAAGAAAAATTGGGGTGCTGCAGGTAAGGGACATACTGCCTTTTTTTTTAAAACTAGAATATCACCTGACATGTTTTGTTTATTTATCTGAAAGGGAGAGAGAGAGAGAGAAGGCGTGTGTGTGTGCAGGCATGAGAGAGAGTGAATTGTCACCCAGTGGTTCATTCCCCAAGTGCCCTTATTAACTAGGCCTGTACCAGGCTGAAGCTGGGAACCAGTTCAATCCAGGTCTCTCACATGAGTGGCAGGGGACTCAACCCCTTGAGCCATCATTGCTGCCTCCCAGGGTCTGCATTAGCAGGAAACTGAAGTCAGGAGCTATAGCTGACGGTCAAACCCAGGCCCTCAAATTTGGATTATGCGTGTCATTCAACTGGTGTCTTAACTGCTAGGACAAATGCCTTGCCCCGCAATCTTAAAATGAGAGTTCAGGGCATGTATCATTCAGGAAGTGACCTTTGATCAAAGAGTTGAAGGAAGTCAGGGAGTCAGTACCCCAGGTAAAGCTCTAAGATGCCAGTGTGATTTGTTTGCTCATTGAAGAGCAAGGAAAAAGAGTGGTGGGGTCAGAGTGGCAAGGAGAAGGAGAGGAAAAGGAAAGGAGGCCAGAGAAACACAACAAGGATTCAATTCATGTAAGAGCCTTGAAGGCCCCGTGAAGAATTTGTATTTCACTTTGAATAGAATGAGTAGCCTATGGCTTTAGTTCTGCCTCTGGGGAAAATAGGAGCCTTCAGAAGAGTGTGAGTATAGGAGTGATCTAATGTTTACCTTTGAGGGTTAAGAATAGGTTCTGGGGTCCAAGGATGGTAACCAAGAAGCCAGTGAGCATGTTCTAACAATATGGGCGATGAGACCTCATCATGTTACTTCCACCAGGGAGGTGACAGTGGCTACTTCTCTTTGTGAGCAGTCGTTAGGCACTGTATACATTTTGCCAGTTGAGCCCAGTTTTCTGGGTAGGTTGCATGGAAGTTTGGGGGAAAGAGAGGAATCAAGGATGACTCTAAGGTCTTTGGTCTGAGCAGCTTCAAGACTAGAGAACTCATCATTGGAAATGGTGAAGGCCACAGGTAGAACAAGGTTTTGAGGAAGATCAGAAGAATAGCTTTAGTCATGCTAAATTTGGCATATTTAGTATACATGGAAATATAATATCCAACAGGCACTTGGATAAAATAAATATAAAATTCACAGAAGAGGTTTGGAATAGAGATAGATTACTTTGGTTGCCTTTAGCATATAAAAGATACAACCCTTTAAGGCCAAGGGAAACAACACAATAAGCTAGGAGACACAAGACTGCACCCCAAAGTCCTCCAACATGAAGAGATTGGAGAAGAGGAAGAACCACCAAGAGGAGCAAGAGACAGGATCATTCTTTCATTCATCTGAAATATGATCCCTGAAGCTGAAGATGATAAAGAAAAGGCTAACAAGAAGGGAAGAATGAGGGGACTGATACACAGGGCAGATTGCATGGAGAAAGCACCCTGTTCTTCCATAGGAACTGGAAGAGGGGACATGAGTATGTATATACAGGAAATTACTTTCCTGAGGGTGTGTAAATTTTAGAAATTGTCTGCATTTTATGTCAGACAGGTCATCAAAGAAGGAGGTACCTTTCTCTGAAGGGAGGAGAGAACTTCCACTTTGACCATGGCCTTGTCTAAATATGATCAGAGTCGGTGAACTCAGGGGGCTTCCATAGCCTTGGAAACTCATGACTAGAGCCTAGGGTGATTACTGATGCCATAAATAAGAGTGTCAATTTGTTAAGTCAACAACAGGAGTCACTGTGCACTTACTCCTCATGTAGGATCTCTATCCTTAATGTGCTGTACATTGAGATCTAATGCTATAACTAGTACTCAAACAGTATTTTTCACTTTGTGTTTCTATATGGGTGCAAACTGTTGAAATCTTTACTTAGTATATGCTAAACTGATCTTCTGTATATAAAGATAATTGAAAATGAATCTTGATGTGAATGGAATGGGAGAAGGAGCGGGAAAGGGGAGGGTTGTGGGTGGGAGGGAAGTTATGGGAGGGGAAGCCATTGTAATCCATAAGCTATACTTTGGAAATTTATATTCATTAAATAAAAGTTAAAAAAAAGAAATTGTCTGCATTTTATGTTAAATTATACATGCACAGATTGACTTAGAAAGCCCTACTGAAGACATGCAATGCAAAATGAACTGTTTTATGAAATCACATGTACAGAATATATTTATATGTGAAAATTCTAGCATATTGTCAACAAATACTTGTAAAATTATTCATATATTATCTCTGTTCTTTGTGGAGAACTTTGTTATAAAACTATTTTCTTTGCAAAATAAAAGCATATAAAAACATTCTTCAATACTTTTTCTGAAGGCATATATACCTACTGAATCTGATGTCAGTTTATTGAGACATATAACTTACACTTTCTCTGTAATTACTAGTCAGAACTCACTGACAGAGACAGTGGGTGTGAATTATCTATTTGTCTTAACTCTGGTAGAATGGCAACTTTAGTCAATGAGACAACTATGGAAAATATGTCTGCAAATATGAGATGGATTTTATTACCTGTGTCTAAGAAATCTATTCAAAGCTACAGCTTCAGCCTACATGCATTTAGAAATATCCTAGAAAACCACAGATTATTTAAGAGAGAACAGCTAATGTTTCTTTCTCTCCTTAAGGAGTAGCATATACCTAACCAACCTGACACCTCCCTCAGGAGGAAACATCTGCTTACCAGGATAGGAGGAGATGGTGTTGATGTGAGTGGTCCTGATGACACCCACCCGGGGACCTCGGTTGTTCTTCATGCACATGCAGATGCAAATGGCAATTCCGGCAATAACCCCCATGATAAATACGATCCCAAACACGATGCCGGCAATTGCAGTGCCTCTAGAAAGGAGAAGCAGAAGTACAGTTATGATTATTTTCTTATACATTTTAGACCTCTAGCTTATCTTAAAAATTATTTGAGATGCAAAGAGACACAGAAAATGGGAGAGAGAGAGAGAGAGAGAGAGAGAAGGACCTACTATCCATTGGTTCCCTCCACAAATGTCCGCAATAGTCAGACTGAGCCAGGCCAAAGCCAGAAGCCATGAATTCAATCCAGGTTTGCCATGTGGGTACTCAAGTGCTTGAGCCATCACCTGGTCCCTCCCAGGGTGCCCATTAGTAGGAAACTGAGATCATGAGCTGGAGCCAGGCATTCCAATACTGGATGTGGGTGCACCAAGAAGCATCTGAACCACTTGGTCAAATGTCTGTCTCAAAGCACATTTAGTTAATCAAAGTCTCATAATGATTCTTGAGTGTTTCAAACACAGCTTCGTCACTGTAAGACAAGGGCTTCTTTACAAACGTTGTTAAGGATGAAATTTAACAATCAACAGCATTCCCTGAATCGGTCAAGCGAATCTCCTGGATTTCAATAGACAGTTGTAAACCTTTAGATATTCCTCTTCCAGCACAGTTATCCAATGCTTCGCTCAGATTCTGGTTTCAAAAACTCACGTATTTATATATAGAAGAATTCTCCAGATATGATGTCTAAACTAATAATTAAAAAGCCATTCTGCTGTGAGTGTAAACAGCTTTATTGGGCATAGAGCATATGTGTTTAACAAAAACAACTCAACAAATGACAAAACATTAAATAAAATTTAACATCTATTCCTTAGTAAAGCTCCGAGAATTTTTTTCTTAAAAAATAAAGACAACGAAACCAAGTGCATTGTTGTATTATCCAGAGTACAGTCATGACTAACAAGTATTCTCACTCAATTAGGAAGAAGGTAAGCAAAACCTTTATTTCTATTCATATTAGTATTTTTCTCTACAAAGGTTCAGTTAACACAGCATAACCATAAATAGAAAAAACATACTGCATGGAGCAGCCAGTATTATAATTATTGATGGGTAACATGATTTGATGGTATCCATATTTGAGCACTATTTTAAAAACTAATGAGGAAATTTTTCTCAAAAGGAAAATTTTGAACAGACGGGATCATTTGGAGCAATGCTTCCATTAAGAAATACAGCACACATGGACACCAACAACATAACGAGAATGTTCACCCATGTGTTGCTGCCAATAGCAAAATAGGAGAAATACCCTAATGTCCACAAAGGGCGACTGATAGAGATAAACAACAACAACAACAACAAAAACCCCATAGAATTATTCATGAAATGATCAAGAAAGATGGGGAGAACAACATGAACTAGGGTGAAACGCTCATGATACAGAGTTAATGTTATGAATGAAAAAGCACTAATGAGGGTAAAACTCTGACTTTCTGTATCAAAGTTATAATGTACAAGTAATGGTTATTTTGTGAATATGGGAGAATCAAGAAATTTTCACCTTCCAATTTGTGTGTTCAAGTTTTTCAACTGTTTTCTCCAGTTTGTTTTACCCTTACTGCTCAATATTATTACATCCCTTTCTAAATTTTTACATATTATCTATTTGCTTATTTAATGGTATTTGAGACTGTAACCTCTCAGATAAGCTTTGGCCTTGGTTAAATCAGTCATCAATATTTGTATTAGCTCAACAATGATGATAGCTGTTACCCTCCTTTACTCTTAAAACTTACGTAACAAATTATCATATATTCATTGCTAATCTCCATCCTATCATAATTCTTAGAAATCTTTCACACAATTAAAAGTCACTGTTTCATACTCCAGCACGGTAAAAATATTTCATCAGTTCAGTCCTGTTCCTCATGGAGCTCATCCTCTTGGGGCCCACTAACTCCGCTGGATTGCCAGAGCCCATCCTTAACATTTCTGGATAGACTGCCTTGTTTGCTGAAGCACATTCCTAATGGTTTCTTACAGATGAGTTCAAGGGGAACTGGAGTTTTTGATTCTTTGTGTGCCTGAAAAGGTTGCATTTTTACTTGATTTCTAATTCTGTGATGAACCAAGGGACTTCAAAAATTTGGATTTAAATAAGTGCTTGGGAGATGAGTGTGCAAGGGTACACCTTGAGAGGTTAATTCCACAGAAGAGGATGCTTGAAGTCAGTCCCCATATGGCTTTTCCTTTGCCTCCACTACAAGGCTCTCCATTTTCATTTTTTTTTTTCGACAGGCAGAGTGGACAGTGAGAGAGAGAGACAGAGAGAAAGGTCTTCCTTTGCCATTGGTTCACCCTCCAATGGCCGCTGCGGCCGGCGGCCGGCGCACCGCACTGATCCAAAGCCAGGAGCCAGGTGCTTCTCCTGGTCTCCCATGTGGGTGCAGGGCCCAAGCACTTGGGCCATCCTCCACTGCACTCCTGGACCACAGCAGAGAGCTGGCCTGGAAGAGGGGCAATCGGGACAGAATCTGGCGCCCCGACCGGGATTAGAACCCGGTGTGCCGGCGCCACAGGCAGAGGATTAGCCTAGTGAGCCACCGCGCCGGCATTTTCATTCTTGAGGTGCGTAAGCCTCACTGCCAGTTTCCTGGATCTGGGAGTTTTATTGTTAGAAATAGGAACTTTCACAAAAGCCTCATGCTTTCACCTCACTGATCCAGTCTCTCCCTCTGCAGTGCCCACTGGCTTTCAGGTTTATGTGTGGCAGCTGACATACGGAAGTCACAAGAAACAAATCTTTGGGGTCTGGAAGCATGGTCTCTGAAGCCAGACCACCTATGTTCCAACTGGAGCCCGGTAACCTCGGACAAGTTGCTGAAGCTCCACGTGCTTCAGTTTCCTCATTTATAAATCTGTCAGCTTGGTGCTTTTCTGGTTTCCCTCCCATTTATTTTTGTTTTAATTTTATTTGTTTACTTGAAAGTCAGATTTACAGAGAGGCAGAGAGAGAGAGAGAGAGAGAGAGAGGTCTTCTATCCACTGGTTCACTCCCCAATTGGCCGCAAAGGCCGGAGCTGCATCGATCCAAAGCCAGGAGCTTCCCCTGGGTCTCCCACGAAGGTGCAGGGGCCTAAGGATTTGAGCCATGCTTTCCCAGGCCATAGCGGGGAGCTGGATCAGAAGCAGAACAGCTGGGACTCGAACTGGTGCCCACATGGGATGTTGGCACTGCAGGTGGTGGCTTTGCTTGCTATGCCACAGCGCTGGCCCCTCCCTCCCAAATTTCTAATCACGAGTCTTGTGCTCGTGGATGCATTTGCCAGAAGACTAAGTTCTCATTCTCAGTGCTGTCTGAATATCTATTCCAGGGAAGTTCTGTAATCTCTCACTCCTATCCCTTGGGCCCAGGCACTTCTCTTATGTCAGAAATGTTCAGATTCTGGAGAGAGAACAAAGAGCATACACTGTGTATAGAATGATACTCCCAGGGGCAGCAAGAGCAACAGCCTGAGAATATTGATATTTTTACAGCAAAGGTGGGAATATTGACTCTCAAGAATTGCATGAGTCCAGAAAAGAGCCCAACGTTTGTTGGGGTCCAATCTTGTCACCAATGGACCTTTATGTGTAACTCTGAAACCCCTCAACACTCTAAAAAGTGAAGGTACAGAAAATGGATTGTGAATCTGTTTTTGTTCTTTCCAGAAGATATTTTCCTTTTTTCTTAAGGTTTTTATTAAATGACTACAAATTTCATATGTACAGCTTTTAGGAATATAGTGTTTCTTCCCCCCATTCCCACTCTCCCACCCCCACATCCATCCCATCTCCTACTCCTTCTCCCATTCCGTTTTTCATTAAGATTCATTTTTAATTCATTCATATACAGAAGACCAACTCTATACTAAGTAGAGATTTCCACTGTTTGCACCCACACTGAAACACGAAGTATAAAATACTGTTTGAAGGCAGGTTTTACCATTCTCATAGTATACCTCATTAAGGACAGAGGTCCAACATGGGGAGTAAGTGCACAGTGACTCCTGTTGTTGATTTAACAATTAACACTCTTATTTTTGATGTTAGTGACCACTGATGCTCTTGACATGAGCTGCCAAGGCTATGGAAGTCTTTTGAGTCCACAAACTCCATTGGTATTTAGACAGGGCCATATGCAAAGTGGAAGTTCTTTCCTCCCTTCAGAGAAATGATATTTTCTAACTTTTCCCCACTCACTTAAAAATCATAGTGTACAGTAAAAACTCCCATAGGTTCATTTAAGAGATATCCATAGGCGTTTTCATTTTGTTATTAAATTATAAAGGCAGAATGTGAAACATATCTAGATGTTCTACTAGTAAATGAAGAATGGCAAGCTGTAGCAAATTAATAATCTTTGCAAGCAAAAAGAATTATCAAAGGAGGTAATTTGAAGGAAAGTAAAAGTAACATGACGGCATTTTTATTATAATTTTCAGATCTAAATAAGATGAAATAAGGTCTAAATACAAGGGCTTAATTTACGTCCCAGAAATAATCAATGTCCCAAATATTCAGTCATGAAATTTCCAAAGGACGTGTTACAGAAGCTGTGAAGATTTCAAATTGGGGCATATTTATATTCATTAATTCCTTTTTTGAAAAGGAGAAAGGAGAAAGTAGAAAATTAGCCACATTTTATTTCCTTATTGGCCACTCCAGCAAAAGTGCTTGCTCCTGAGGGCACTAAGGAGGTTACATCTAATGTGTTAAATGAGGTTTTCCTACTGAATCATGAATTTAGTGTCCTTGACCCTCTGATATCCATTAGCAACTGTAAATTAGTTATCTGATAGATGGAAAGTATAAAATTTATAGCATTGTTTACTTTGTTATTAATTAAATGAAACAATAAACAAAGAGTAGCCTTCCTATATATAAATACATTGATGTAGTCAACTGTTGGGATGAGGGAAGCTATTAATTTGAGAAATTTGGCATCATTAAAACTTTGAAAAAATATTAGAGAATGTGTTTTATTTAAATGAATGCCTTGTACTACTTGATAATTCCTCTATTTTGAACTTTCATTTTGAAAG